TCAGCTTCTATGAGGATGCCACAGAATTTGAGGCCTCCTGCCCCACCCGGAGTGCAGGTGTTTCGCTTCACCGGCCACTGTACTATGCCAACAAAGACTTCTTCTGCAGTCACTCTACAGCCTCACAGGGCTGGATGCAGGGCGCTCGGCTGCCAGGAGGAAGGAGCAGAGCCCAGAGGTGGGTGTCAGTGAGAGAGGCCCCGCTGATCGCAAAAAACATGGGTTCACTGAGCAGCGGGGCTGGGTTGGAGCCCCTGGCAGTTGGTTTCCACACAGTGGTCATTGGATTGTGCCCACTGCTGTTCCTGGATGTTGCTGGCATGGCCACGCTGCAGGACTTGCGCAGGGACTACAGGGCCCTGGGTGTGGCCCTGCTCCTGGCCTGCTGCAGTCCCTCAGTGAGGGATACACTGAGGAGGGGGGGCTTTCTGGGGGAGGACCAGGGGGCAGAGGATGAGCAGCTGTTCCCCAGCGTGCACAGTGCCGTGGAGGCTGCGCTTGTCCACCAAGGGGAGCTGATAACTGCCGACTCTACCCTCTAGCAGGGCCAGGGCCTGCTCACCAGCCTCTACTCCCTTTTGAGAGCTGAGGCCGTTGTCTGCAGGCTGTCACTGAGCCCCTTCCCAAGGACACCGCAAGGGCTGGGGTCATCCAAAAGGTGCATCCCTGGGTCACCTCCACCTTGGAGAAGCCAAGGAACCTTAAATTCTCAGCGATCAAGAACCACAAATGGCTGGCGGAGTGGCTCAGGTGGTCAGAGTGCCTGCCTAACAAGCATGAGGTCCTGAGTTCAAGCCCCAGTACAGCCAAAAAAAAAAAAAAAAAAGAATAACACTTTAAGAACCACAAATGTTCAGTGACCAAGAACCTCTGCTTCTGAGACAAGTGCTGCCCCTGTGGTGTGTGCTCAGCCCTGGTGCCAGCACCCACGCAGTCTCTTAGCTGGTGCTCATAAGAGCTGTCCTGGTCTGCCACTCTTGTATTGCCATCTTATTTGGACAAAGTAATGCAAATTATATGACTTCTAAGGTGCCAAAAGGACACCCTATCCCCAAGCCTGCCCAGCCCTTACCCTACCGGGTTGGAGCTTGACATATGGTCAAGGTGTGAGGGTCTGTATTTCTGGAAGTCCATCCACACCCAAGTGCTCCTCATATCTACTGTTCATCTCTGGTGGGGCCTCACAGAGCAGCCACCTGCTCCAGAGCAGCTGCCCCAATGTCGGGGTCAAAAGTGACGTGACCAACACAACCTCAGCCTGGCTTGTACACAGTGACCCGGTGCAGCTCAAGTGGCAACCACACACACAGCATGTGTGTGCGCACACAAAGCCAAGTGCCGTGGGTGTCAACCCCACCTGAACCTCCGGGTGACCTTCAGGAGGAAGCCAGCTGTACTCCATCAGCACACAGGGAACCCAGGGTCCCTAGGGCAGTCAGCCAGGATGTCTCCCTCCTCCCCTCTCCAAAAGGGTGCTATGACAGGAAATGCAGGAGCAGTGTGTTCTCAGAGCAGCTCCCTGCCCTGTGCCCCACTACAAATGCTCCTTCACCGGCAGCCCAGCACTGTCCACCAAAGCAGTTGGTCCCCAACCAGGCCAGGCTTGCCTCCTCTTCAGAATCTGTAAGAGGCTCAAGTCAGCATCCCCCAGACCCTACCTCAGCATCACCTACCTGACTGTGATGAGGTCCAGCAGCCAATGTGTCCGGACCTGCTCAATGCCACCATGAGGGACGGCACCTATGTAGGCAAGGTTCAGTTGCTGGTCCCAGCTGAGGTCATACTGGTCAGCCTGGTTGTGCGGCAGTGGAGGGCTAGGGACAGGACAGGAGTGCTGTGGTTTGTCCTCAGTGGGGCCTGCAGCAAGCCATCTCCACACATCTGGCACCTGACTGTGCAGGCCCAGCAGACAGTGTGTGCCTGCCCCATGAATAACGAAATGACCCTTATACCAGGAATTGTGTAGCTTAGTCCTTGGTGGTGGTGGTGGTGTCCTCATATAGGACAGAAGACCATATTCCAACCCCACATTTGACCTGCCAGAGAGAAAAAGAGGGTCTCCACTCTTCTGGAGGGAGGTGGGGACATGCAGGGCTGGGTCAGGTCCAACTGACCCCAGTGGAGGCTGCCTCCATTGGGACACTCCTGGAGTCCACTGGAGGCCTATTCCGAGCCCACAGCCTGGATACCAGGCAGCCATAGTCTCGTGGAGCCGCTGGAAAGGCCCAGGGCTGGCGCCAGTCCTCCAGAACAAGGGGTACCCATTCGGGTAGGAAACCTCCACAGTACCCCAGAAACGGCGTGGAACCAACATGAGGGGCGACCCCCACAGACCCTGATGCAGGATGGACCCCGGGGGAAGGACCTAAGTCCTCACTCCTAGCGCCCAGGTTGCCCAAGGGGATCCCAGAAGTGGGGGACGAGGCTTACGGGCCCGAGTTTCGCAAGAGCGCGGATGGGCGGCTCGGGCCTCAGTTTCCCCACGCGAGGCGCTCACCAGAAACCCGTGCTCCTCCAGAAGTGCCGCAAGGGCCGCAGCACGCGGGCCGCGTCCACCCGCACCAGGTGAGGGGTCTCGGCCAGGGCCGCGGGGGGCGCGGCCAGGACCGCGGCCAGGACCGCGGCCAGGAGCGCAAGCAGCGCGATGCGGGGACGCGGGGGGCGCATGGCCAGGCAGTCCGGCATCTGCCCGAGTCCAGGGCCCGCGGGCCTGAGCCACGGCGGGTTCCGCGTCCGGGTGGCGCCCCCACGTGACCGCCCGGTGCAGTGGGGCGGGGCGGGGCCGAGCCTCTGAGGCCCTGGATGGGCGGGGCCCTGGTGGCCCGAGGGCCTGGCTTCCCGAGTGTGGCGTCCCGGAGGCGCCTCTTCCCCGCTAGACTGCGCAGCGCAGACCACGGTGGCTGCGAGGACCGAGGACCGAGGCCTGGACGCGCGATGCGCTTGGAGGAAGGCCGGCCCTCGTCGGAGCACGCCCGTTACTTCTTGGTAATGCTTGGGACTCTAGAGGCCGAATGGACCCTGAAGGCAAGTCAGGCTGCTGTGTTCTGCTCAGCCCCGTGATGGTTAAAGGTGCGAAGAGCTGGTCAGGTGCGGGCTACATTTGAAGGTGGCACTCTAGGACCGCCTTCATGGAGTTGATGTGGGGGGACTAGTCAAAAGGACTAGGGCGTTGGCAGAAACTGTGCTGAAATGGGGCTTTTGTAAAAGAACAGATGTGGTCTCTTACCTTTGAGGAGCCGGGTGGCCACGTCTGAATGTCTGGGGAAGGTGGAACAAGATACAGAGTATTAGATGGAGTTAAATCAATATACTGTCCAGACGAAGGCTCAAATGGTAGAGCACCTGCTTAGCAAGCATGAAAAGAGCAGCTCAGCAGCAGAACCTAGACACTGGATGGTTAAGCTGTGAATTGGAAGCAGGAGTGTTACAGCTAGTGTTTTGGGATCTTTTTATTTGGGGAAGGGGATTAAGATATTTTTGAACATTACAGTTTATGTGAAATTGCTGTAAGATATCATGATTAATCACTTAACAGAGAAACGGTGTGCACAAATTCCAAACCAGCAGAGAGGACAAGAGTGATATGAAACAGTTGAGAGCTAGAGGCGTAACACAAATGGTAGAGTGTGTGCCTAGTAAGCACAAGGCTTACTGCCTTCTCCCTCACCAATGGAAAAAAATTAAAAAGTAAAAGGCAATAAAGGAGGGGGAAAGGCTAGTGTGGTGGTTCATGCCTATAATCCCAGCTCTTGGGAAGCCGAGGACTGCAAAATCCAGGTCTACAGAGCCAGACTCAGGAAAAACCAGCAGCACAGAAATACCTTTCCAGGAACCACAGATGAGAGACTCATTCTAAACTCTCCAGAGAAAGCTGCTAAAAATGGTGCATGAAACATTTTAAAGCAATTCTTAAAAGCATTAAAGAGCTGAAGTAACAGTGAAGAATCCATGTTAAAAGTGAAGAGAGGAGCTGGGTGCTGGTGGTTCATGCCTGTAATCCTAGCTACTCAGGAGAGGATTGTGGTTCGAGGCCAGCCCTCAGATAGTTTTTGAGACACTATCTAGAAAAAACCCATCACAAAAAGGGCTGGCAGATTGGTTCAAACAGTAAGAGCGCCTGCCATGAGGCCCTGAGTTCAAACCCAGTGCTGCCAAAAAACAAAGTTGAAGAGAGGGGAACCCAGCAGTGGGAAAGGAACTGTTTCACACCAGCTCTCCCCTGTCCTCCTCAGGACAGCCACCAAGGCCAGGTGACAATCTGCCAGACAGCAGCTGGGGAGAAGGTTTCCAAGCATTAACAACTGGGCTCCCAACCCCGGAGGGGATTTCCAGTTAGGAAAGTAAGCCAGAGAGGCCATGGGGCTTGGGCATTCCTATGGGGGGGTGGGGCAGGGATAGAGCTGGGGTTTAGGCACAGGGGCCTCAGAAAGCTGTACCCTAAAAGCAAAGTTAAGCCAGAAACCAAATTTCCAGCTTCATATCATCATCTGCCAGAGGACAGCAGCCTCCCTGCAAGAAGGTTAAAAGAAGTCCTCCATGTGCGGACTGGCTACAGAGAATAGATCTGGGTCAGGAAAAGAAGATTAGTCACATGGAGCATGTTGGGACAATTCACAACCTGGAATATGTACTGTATATTGCTCAATAAAATTCTACCAGTGACAAATTTCCAAATTGGTCAGATTCTACCAGTTTGATAATTGGTAGAATCCAAATCCTACTGATGAATTCCAAGATTATTAAGTGACACAGTTGCATCACGATTGGGATGGAGATGTTCTTGTGAGATCAGAGTATTTAGAGAAGGGTCATTATGTCATTTTGTTTCAGCTCTGAAAGCTTTATTACACATGAAGAGTGTGAGGTAAAAGCAAAGATAGCAATTGGTCCACCAAGTTGAGTGTGGGGATCTGAGCCTATACTCCTAGCCCATGCAAGGGTTTGAGGCAGGAGGATCAGTTGGGCCCAGGTTCCAGTCCATCCTGGGCAATACAGTGAGACCCAGCCTCAAAAGAAACAAACAAACAAAAACACTCACACAAAGAGATTTCAAAACCTGAAGGTGCTGTAAGAGAAACACACCATGAGACCCTTTGCCACCATCCACTTTCCATTGAGGGGACATTAAATGATGTCCTTCAAGCAGACCAGTGATCCCAGTCAAGGTCAGAGGAACAGGGGGGAATGGAAGGAGCAGAGTGTTGTGTGAAGGAAGTGTAAAACTAACGACAGTGACCATATAAAACCCTAATGTCCTACAGGGCTGCAAATGGATTTAAAGAATTAAAGTGTGTGACTGCACCAGCCCAGGTATTGTCAGGGAGTGGGTGGACCCCAACACACTGAACAGTGGTCTCCAACCAGAACTCAACTGTTCTAGTGGCTGTCACCACATGTGGTGAAGGGACTTTGCAGGTGTAATTGAATTAAAGACCTTGAGATCGAGATTATCCCAGATTATCCAGTGGGCCCTAACCGTGTCGCAGTGTGCTACAGGGAGATAGTGGGAGATGTGACACAGAAGAAAAGACTGTGGTGTGGCCTCTGAAGATTGTCCCAAAACTTGTACCCAGGTTTAAGCCAGGCATGGGGGACTTGGCAGACACAGGCACAACTATTCTGCTGTAAGGGAACATGTAATGTAAAGCCTTGGGTACTGGGAGGCAGTGATTCCAGAGCTTTCTACCCTGGAGGGGACAGCTTTTATGTCCAGTAGTGTATTATCCATGTGAAGATGGGTCCACTTGTCTGCTAGGGCATCCTGTGCTAAGGTGACTGCCTCAAGTATGTGGTCAGGTGTGGGTCTCTT